AAAAAAAAAAAAAAAAAAAAAAAAAAAAAAAAGATAAAAATATCCTATTAATTTATATTTATAATTATCTGTTTATTATTTAAGGTGTAAATAATATTTTTCTCTTTTTTTTGACCACCATATACACCGTGAATAATACATGAAAGGAAAGGACAGTTAGGGCTTAGAGTTAGGGTTAGGGGTTAGGGTTACGGGTAGGGTTAGGGTGAGGTGGAGACAGGAAAAAGGAGACAGTTGTATTCTTAGTTGACCATAATAAAAAGAAAGAACAACAAAGGGAGAAAAGAAACAGAAACGAAATACGGAAGTGGGCTGCTACCGCTACCGCTACTGCTGCTGCTGCTGCTGCTTCTGCTGTGATACTGAGCGGCACAGACCCACCTCTTTCTGAATCTATGAAGGCCTCAAACAAGGCAGGCAGCAAAAAACGACGGGATATAGAAAGAGACTCTAGACGCGAACGAAAGGTATCCAGCAAAAACAAACGATGCAGCGTCCGACAAGCTCTGCACATCCACAAGCAGCAGCAGCAACAGCAACAGCAGCAACAGCAGAATAAGAATGCCATTGGTGTGCAGCCAGACGTGAGCTGCAAGGCACTGCTGGGCTTGGTGTGTGCGGCACCTGCAACCCCTAAACCCTAAACCGTAGGCGCCAAGCACTGAAGGCCCTCCTCACCCGTCGCAACGTGTATGCACACTGCGGAAGTAGGTGGGGGACCCCATGACAGCAATACAAGCAGCAGCAACCAACTCCGCATCCATGCTGCTGCAAGGAGACAGTTCGCCACCCTGTGCGCCTCGAAGGCTTTGGTATATGGCCTGCAGCTCGGCCATATGCCGTAGAGACAAAAATACCTCTTCAACGATGCCGCTAGGGAGCACTGCGCGGAAGAGAGGGGAAGCAGCAGAGGGACAAAAGGAGACACACAGAGTACAACCAAGCAACACATAAACAAAAACAGTGTAAAGAGAATACAATAATATAACATCAATACCCCCCATCTACTCTCCTGCGGTACATCAACTGTCTCCTTTATTCCTGTAGAGCTTTGTTGTAAGCTGCATGCCTCTATTGGCCTCCAGGCCAGTGCCCTGGCCGATGCATTTAGTAAATGGTGTGCTGCTGCTAAGACAGCCCTGTCTTACATGCGAATTGGGGGGGCGGCTGCGCAGGCGTATCTGGCCCTCCTGGCGGGAGCTGCAAATACACCCGCAGACGCATCAGCAGCACCGGCAGCAGGTGGGAGTGGACACAGGAGATAGCGCATGTAATGGTAGACAAAGCGACAAGATGCGTCCTGGTGCGTCCTGGTCCTCTAATGCAATCTGTCCCTGTCTCTGTCTCCATCGGTGTGTGCCCCTGTCTCTTCCCCTGTCTCTGTCTCCGTATCCACTTCCTTCTCTGTCTCAACGTGTCTCCTACCTGTGTTAGAAGAGAAGCAAAACGCCATTTTTGGGTGGTGAGGAGAGACATAGCTTTGGGGTCTTCTTTACCGTCAGAGCAATAGATGTACATACACCCCAACAGCCACGAACAGAAGAGATGTGCAAAATGCCAATATAAGGTGCACAGGCGAGGGTGCAGCAGGATCTGCAGCAGCACAACACAAGCGGAGGCGCACAAAGGCAATGCATGAAGTCACTCTCAACTCGAGTGCCTAATCCGCGCGGCCTATTTGTTTTGCGAGCGTGCTGCTGCCGTTGCTGCGGCCGTTGCTGCTCCTAGAGACTCAATGTGCAGGAAAAAAGGCCTGCTGTGGGATTTAACACGTATTATGGGAGTCACAATAAAAGCCCGTCAGGAGGGACACTAAGCCAGCACGGAGGCAGGCAACAGGAGCACGAGCAGGCAAGCACTGACAGAGACAGCTGCAGATACAGCCCCAGAAATACCCAGAAACAGCAGCAGAAGACAGGAAGGAGACAGGAACAGCAGCACTCAGAAAAGACGTGCAGCAAACCCTCACAACTCGCCAACCCAACACCTCAGCCACTATTTGCTTGGACTCTGGCGAATTCTGCTGCATTCCTTCCTCATGCCGCCGTTGAAAATACTCCATCCACCGCATGCACTCGTTTGCGCAAGGACTGCAACAGAAAATACAAACAGAAAGGAAGGACTCGTCTAGCGCTGCTGCTATTGCTGCAACGCTGCTGTCGCTGCTGTTCCACCGGGTGCGAAACACACACATCACACGTGCAAGGTTTATAATGTATGGTCTTGCAGCAAGGCGTCATAGCTGAAGATTTAGTGGAGCAATTGCAGCAGCGGCAGCAGCAGCAAAGTGCCGGACTTGAAGCAGAGTCGGACGGCCCGGATCGTGAGCCAGAAGACCTCTGTTGTAAATTTGGCATTCGCATCTTCAGCAGCAATTGTCTTGTAAAACTCTTTCGCTGTTGCCGCTGCTTCTCCCTCTCCCAAAAGCGCCTCCCGGCGCAGCGGTCCTACAATTGCCTGCCGCACCCTGTCGCCGGCCGCCCCGCAGGTGGCGTAAAAGGGAGACACCTCACAGCTGCAGCAGCAGTAACAGCAGCAGCAAAAACACCAGCAGCCACGGTCGAGTAGAGACCTCGCACAGGATAGACGAAACTAGCGCAATGCAGCCAATACGTACACTCAAAACTCCAACGTTCCAAACCAACAGAGCAGCAGCAACCCCACAGTAAATGGGGCTCGCAGCAACAGAAGGAATAGCACCAGTAGCAGAAGCTGTCCTATATCGTATGCGAATCAAGACTATGACGGCGGACGTACATCTTTTCATATTTAATAGGCTCGACAAGCAGTAACAGGGCGTGGAATATATTAATGCAAAACCCAAATGAATTCTGGCCCTGCGCCTCTGAAGCCAATACACCAGCAGCATCAGAAGCAGCAGACACTGACACAGCGGCGGCTAGAGGACGAAGCAGGACAGTACCCTAGCCGCGCTGCCTACGTTGAGTCCTCGACAATCCTAAGGAATAAAGTCACAAACAGCGGCCGGGAAAGGAGCACCAGCAGCAGCAGCAGCAGCACTAGGAGCAACAGCAACACTTGTACCCCACACACGCACTTATAAGGAAGGAGTGAAGGGGATCGGCGGACTCAGGGCTCTGCTGGTGCAGCATCATGTGGGCGTGTGCTGCCTTGGCTCGTGCTTCATTGGAAGATAAAACAGCAGCAAACCACTGCAACACGCGGTGTCTCTCCACCTTCCCCGCCCGGCAAATGTTCTTCACGATCTGCAGCAAGATGTCAAGAGCACCACAGCAGCAGCACCACAACGCATGCAGCAGCAGCAGTAGGTGGGTAGCATAATGCAACCAGCAAACCAAAGTACAGGGGAGCGAAAACCGGGCAGACACGACTCTCCCATAGCATGAACTGCACTGCTACACACAGGACCATCAGCGGCAGCAACAGTAGAAACAGCAGTGGCAGCGGCGGCGGCGGCGGCAGCAGCAGCAGCAGCAAGATTGCATGCCTGGTCATCTATGTCCATCATATTTTGGATGTCATGACGCATCCCCTGTATAGCGTTTTGCAAATAGTTCGGTGCTAGGGCAGCGCTACCAGCAAACGCCTTCTGGACACTGCTCTGCTGGCCTTTCTGCACGCAAACCCTAAACCATAAACCCTAAACCCTAAACTCCTAACCTTAAGGCCGGTTTTCGACCTTCCCTGGAATTTGACACTTACGAGGGGCCCCCTGAGTAAGGGGACCCTGGGTACACCGCAAGGTTAGCGCCTCGCAAGGTGACTGAGGTTTAGGGTTTAGGGATTTTGCCAATGGGCAAAACCCCTAAACCCTAAACCCCAAACCCTAAACACTCGGGAGCTTACAGGTAGGACGGGTCCGTCTAGAGGAGTGAAGGAAAGGAGTCTGCCTAGTAGGGAATTCTCCTGGAGGAAGAACCCCGGCTGAGACCCCGGGAGCAGCGGCGCGAAAGAAGGCATGAAACAGGGAGATGCCGCAATGTAGGAGGCTGAGGAGGACAAGATAATAACACATACAACAATAAAAATGAGAGACACAAGGGAAACAAATGCAACAGAGAAATACGCAAGGAGGGGGCAGTACGAAGAATCACATTGAAAAACGTCTCGACAACAGCAGCAACGCCAGCAGCAGAAAGAGCACAGCAACTCCTGCAGCAGTATCCCCAAGCATGCAGACTGTCAACTAGAGAAATGGATAACAAAAGCCAGCATCTGCACAGCAATAACCAGCAGCAACAGCAGCAGTAACAGCAGCAGCAATGGCAAGAGCACAGTATCATATCGTAGCAATTCACACGCACGGAAGCCAACAAAGCCTGAAGCAACAGAAGGAGACAGCAACATCTTCTGCAGACAGCAGCAGCAGCCGGCAGCAGCAGCAACATACCGATGGATTTAAAGGACGACAAAAATCGAATAGCGCCAACAGCGGGGGCTTTGTAGTCGCCCACCTGTGAATGAGCAGCAGCAAACAGCAGTAAACAGCAGCATACAGCAAAAAAGACGCTTCGAAGCAAATGGCCGCTGTAGCTTGCCTCCGTAGTTGGCAGATGCGCATGCAAAGATACAAATGTATTGGTCCTTATCCGTGCAGGTGTGCACTGACACACAGTACGATAGACAAAGGCATGCATGGATGCATATATCTAAACACGTGCATGCATAATAACATGCGTGCGCAAATCACTATCAGCTCATGCACAACATAAATGGATGTAGGTTATATATTAGCTTGCGTTGGTGTTGTGTGATTTCTCCTTGTGGCTGGCTCTATTGGCCTTGTTCTATTTCTTCTTTGCCTCTTTGTTGATGTGATGCCTATGCCTGTCTCCTCTGACCCCGTCTCTGCCTCAACTATCTAATAACGTCTGTCTGTCTCCGTGTTTACCCCTCTTCCCGTGAGTGCAGCAAAGAAAGTCTCAATTGCTCCTTCAAATGAAGCAGCAGCCGTCTCCTCTCCACCAGGAGAATCGCGAATTGCTGCCAAGAGTCTTGTAATGAAGGCCGTCGGAGCCCCTCCCTCTAGAAACTCCGCAAACTGTCGAGACACCTGAAATCCAGAACAAAATGCAGCAATCAACAACACACATGCACAAACATTTACAACTGCATAAGCATATGCACATCTAATAAAAACAGCGTACTAAACCCTAAACCGTATATATGTATACACATACACATCCATATAGGTATACGTGTGTAAGAATGTAAGCAGATAAACATGCATGCACAGATACGCACAAATTTCCAGAAAAGTAGGCCGAAACCCATACATGTGTAAAAAAACAGAATATACGCAAGCATACTCTGAAAACGCCAACAGGTTCGCATAGATGAAGTGGCTATGCTCGCTGCCTCTACTGCCACGCACAACACCGCAACAGGAGCAGTAGAAGCAACAGTACGTGCAACAGCAACAAGTTGTCACCCACTTCCTGAGTTGGCGGCGTCTCTCCCAACTCAAAAAGTTCTACGCAGCCCAGCAGCAACACACAATTATTCACAAGCTGCTCTTGAACTGCTACAGCTGCTTCTGCACGGATATCTGCCGGTAAGTACCTGCAACAAAGTAGCACCGAACGGGAAGAACAGCAGCAGACGCAGCAGAGCATCAGCAGCAAATAACTAACAGCGGCAACCAAGCATCAGCAGCGGGAGCAAAACATTAACAGCAGCAACAAAACGTCGGCTGCAGCAAGAAACTGTCAGCAGCAGCAATCCAAAATCACCACCGGGAGCAAGCCACCACCAACATCAATACAAGCAGCCGTCCACCACCACCACCACCACCAGCCGCCACCACCATCAGCAGCAGCAACAGCAGGGTGTGTACTTGGTGTATGTGTCGTCCGTAAGCCTGCGGAATGCCTCAGCGTTCGCTCTGAAGGGATTCTGGGATTTCGTTCGCCACAAAATTTGGGTTCGTTCAATCAAAATCTCCTGCACCATCTCCAGACGCAACCTGAACACGCGCAAATCCAATACCCTAAACCCTAAACCTTAAACCCTGAATCCTGGATCTTAAACCCTGAATCCTAAACCGTAGGCGACATAGTCCCAGAAAACAAAGCACGAGAAGAAAGAGAGTGCATCTCCTCTACGGAGCAGCACCAAAGGCAAATGTTGAGCTGTGTTCGCCTAATTGTGTGAGCTATCCGCCTGCTTGTGTTTGTTTGCGTATGGCTGCTTTGGCCAGTCCGTTTATCTGTCCGTCTGTCTGTCTGAGTCTGTATGTGCCTGTTTGTATGTGTGTGTTGGGTTGTGCTGTTGGCGATTTCGCTTCGTGCTGCTCGCATTCCATCTGCATCTTATCGTTGGGTGTATGCACACCTCGGTTCATGCCCCCCTCTGGTGCATTCTTCGGCCGCATTTGGGAGGAAAAGGCAATTGGGGAGAAACCCTGCATTCACGCGGACTCTCAGCGCTGCCTGAAGAAAGCGGTCTTCCCTCACTTCAAACTGCGATATCTCTGCAGAGCCGCCAGCGCCTCCTCCTGAAGGGGTTACAGCTGCAGAAGGGTCCTCCTGGGAAGCCGCTGCAGCGTCTCCTGCTGCTGCAGCGTCCGGTGCTGCAGCTCCTGCAACAGCAGCGTCTGGAGGCGAGTCGGGGGGCGTAGCCCCCGAATCTTGGGAGCGCTCCATGCCCAGCTGGGGCGCCAATGCGGTTTCTGAAGCCACAGGATGGCGCTAACGTAGCTGTTCTCTATGAAGAGGCGAAGGGCCCCTACCTTTCCTATTACTACTGAACAAAATCTGGCTGCTACTGTTGACTTCGGAACAGGCTGGAGAAAGTTTGTGTTTCGAGCTGTTGTCTGGAGACACCGCACGTCTCTTCAGAGCATGTTTTACAGCCTCCCTGTACATCAAGAGGTTAGGTGTATGCGCAGCTAGCGCAGCGCCCCAGCTTCCCCTGGGCCCGTAGTTTCTGCCACTGCCGTGACAGGTGGTCCTCTGCAGTGGCACATACGGGGGCTATAGAAGTTAGACCACGACTAGTTGAACACGTTGGCACAAATACCTCAAATGAGAGAAAAGAAGTTTACGAAAAAAACTCAAAAATATAGAAGAGCTTGAGCTGCGGGCAGCGGCTCCACCGGCCGCTCTCCCGCAGCCAGCGCATGCGACCTAGAGGCTCAACATGTGTTTTCCCCTCTTGTATGTTTGTTGTATTCGTCTTAAATACGCATACGAGGCACAACAAGAGAAACATATGAGGAATTATATATGTGTGTCGGGTGATAGCTCAGCTACAACCCAGGAAGATGCGTTATTGGCATAAGTGTTGCTACTCCCGTTGTTGCGCCTGCGGTTTCCTGCATATCCTGCTTATTCCCTTTTTTAAAGAGACTTTTTTGGAGGTATCTACATTGCTGCACCTCTTTATGACAGCAGTTTGGGTTGTCTTCTCAAATGTCGGGCTGCGCTGTTCGTCGTTCGCAACTGTCCTTAGTGTAGTCGGAATAAGTTCGAGAACGACGGCTTTACGTCGTTCTCTCTTCCCATAGTTTTTGGTCTCGCAGAATTCCCGCAGGTAAACCGGCCCCTTATACACAGCATATTCATTGCTTTAGATGTAACGTAATTTGTCAGCTGTTTGTATTTCGGTAAGGAGTGGGCACATTAACCACTACTCAGCCCTCCTAGGCAAACAGCAAGCTTTTGGAAATGGTCTAAACTGCTCATGCTCGCAGCCGAGAAGGTTTGCTTGCCTTCGTACGTGGGCCTGTATTCCCTTTTGTGTTGTGACAAGATGCTTTGCAGTTTAAGGTCGGCATCATCCTCATCCTCTCCCCGAGTTCAGGAGGCCTGTAGACTGGGAAGGGAGGTCAGTTGCTTTTATGGAACTATGTTGTCAAGCATTTTGTATACGGTAGCAGAACGCCTCTTCCATAGTAGGGCTCCATGTTGCATATCCGTGAGTCGTAATGAAGTTGCTTCAAACGTACTGTACCACGGAATACTTTCGAACTCACACACAAGCTCTGTGAAGTCTCATCCTTTTACTTTGCATGCTTAATGTGGATTGATTTGCACCAAACCCTTGGTGGGGAAGTGGCCAGCCGTTAGGAGGCTGATGCTGAATCACGAGCAACTTCTGCACAACCTCAAGCGGAAGACATTTCTACAGCAAACAGTAATTCATATAGAAAACCTCCACCTCTGCCAACCACCCACGCGTGATGGACACCGCAGTTCGGGGTCGGTGGATGGCTTTCTTGTTTCTCCAGGCTTTTATTTTCGTCTCCAGAAAGCACTAGAGGCGCTTATATTGTTAGTGGCATCTTCGTTATTATTAGACCGGGAAGTAGTACAACGGTGGCGATATATAAGTGAGGGCACAGTCTTTCTGGAGGGCAGAAGGCCAGAAACGGCATTCTTTGTGACGTAGGTTCACCTCTAGGGAACCTCAGAAACATTCGTCTCTAGATCTGTGGAGCCAGCTACGAGCACTAGATATTGTTGAGTCGATTGGACGCAGTGGCAGCTTCCAGCAATCCAGGAGTTCCCACAGCGAAATCCTTGGAAGCTGGCACTCCTCGAGCCGTAAAGGTAAGGAGCTAACGCCCCGGAAGGGGTTTAGGGAATAAGCAGAAGTAGGGCGCTGCGCGGAGGTAAGGGAAAATGAGCCGCCCTAAGTGTGCCCAATGCCATTTCCTAGAGGTGGGCCGCTGTTGTCCGTCTGGGCATTAGGAAGCTGCAAACTGTTGCCACAAGCCGATTGCATCCATTCGAAACCAAAAAAAAACCAGCGGTAATTTCTTTGAGTTGTTCGGTGCACATCGGGAGGAATCCACTAACTGATTGCTAAACAATTGGGGTCTAAGAAAGTCAGTTAACATTTGATGCGAATTAGCTTCTTGTCCCAATATTTACTACAAAGCAAACACAGGTCACCAATTCTAATGCCACCCAAGCAAGGAGAACGTGCACCTCCACACACCTTTTGCTAACGTTGTGCGGATGGGTGGTCCAGCTGTGACCGAGAGTGGGGACAATGCCTGTAATTTGCATCCTAGAGGGGCTAGGGAGATGAATCTGTCTGATTCGAGTTGCCAAGACTGCAGCTGCTTTGTTGATTGCAAAATCTCATGGAAATCTTCGACACTCCGCAGTTTGTCTAGGCTTGAAAAAATAGCACTGTCATTTGGTTCGGTTTTACTCCAAAGGAGTCTAATCCCTGGCCTTCGAAGCACAGGGTGAGTACACTTACATGCTCAACTGCCTTCCACTAGTGTGCGCATGGCAAGGATGGCTCATACTGCCCGCTTCACTGAAGCATGACAGCCATTCTTAAACCTGCGTATCTGCTCATTAAGGGATCGAAGAACAAGTTCTGTAGGCTTGAGGTGGCTACACAGAACATTTTGGCGCCTGTGGCTAAATTCTTGTCACCCGAAGGCTATGCCAAACAACTTAACACAAGATCGCCCCCGCACACCTTGACCGGGGAGCATGCTGATGCCAACAGGCTGGTGTTCATAGTTACAGCTGCATGGGACCTGTATCTTGCAGTTGCTGCTGTTGCTGTACTGTTACTTGGGCTGCTGCAACTGGTCTCTCCAACATTCAGGCACCACCGCGACGGGCCTCCGACGCTGCCCGCTGCATATTCTGCCGATCCCACCTGGCTGCCGCCCAGGTGACGAGGCTAGGCCAACATCAGAAACACGTTTGGAAGGCTTCCAAACGACGGGCGCATCGCCTGTTCATCACGTAAGTAGATTGCCGAAGTAGAACAGGTGGAAAAGCTGGGACAGAAGCGAGGAGGGTTCTGCCGAAACTCAACAGAAACGGCAAGCAAATGCAGCATTCCGCCGCAGTCCCCGAAACAGAATTGACAATAGTACAGTGCTCCATCTGTCCATAGGTGGCCGCATGCCGCTAGCATGCATGCATGCGTTGTGGGGGCTGCCGACGAAATAACTCAACTTCACAAGATAGGTGAGGGTTTGCGAAATAATGTCCCCTGGGGTCTATTGAAGTACCAGTAACCCACATGTCAAGGGATTCCGGTGGCTCTATTGTTGCCGCATAGGAGCATTACAGGACCCAGCCGAGCTCGTTGGGTCCTCAATATTTATATCGAAGCTAAGACTGGTGGAATGCCATCTGGCGAATTCTTCGCATGCAGAATCCACCGAGCAACACCGCTGTCCACAAGCGAAGATATAACCGGTGGGACAGCTTTTCTCGCCTTCAAACCCGGAAATTCTCCAAAGCTCCAGCCAGTCACGCAAAGGGCTAGAAATAGTAATAAGCTTACTGAACACGCCGTCACTCTGAAAGGCCGTAGACCACATCATCTACAATAGCGTCGAAGCCCTGCAGGTCTTGACCGAAGCCTACATTGTCCAAGAACACAACATTTCCCACAACTATTCTATACACCAGCAAACTAATGCAACCTAGTATCAAAGACACTCTGCGTGGAGCGAGCAAACTTTGTGGTTGTAAGTGGTCCACCAGTTTGTGTATGCAGAAACGTCACTAAGGCCAGAGCGTGGCGAGCCGGCAGACAGGAGGTAGGGAAGATACCAGCATATTGGGAAACAGTCTTTTACATTTACGTATCTGCAGATTCTGGTTCCGACCCTGCTCCACCTGACGCTACTGCTCCTTCACCACCTCCATCCCCAAAGCCCTCCAACTCGTCGCCATCCGCTGATCCCGATTCCGGCTCCTCCGGCACCTGCTCGCTGCCTGGAGTTTGGGTAATCGCCGCCTCCGCCACGGGTACACCGGCAGCCTCAGACACAGGTGGCGGAACGGGCGGGGCAGTTGGCAACGGGGGAACCCCTCCTTTATCAGATGTACTGTCTTCGCCAAGCGTTGAGCCTACCTCGCCCTCAGTCACGGCAGATCCATCACCACCGTCTGGTGAATCAGGGCGTGCTGTTATGTAGGACAAAACATCAACGAAGGGAACAGGTCTGGGCGATCCACCTGAATTGTCAAAAGCCACGACACACCTTGCGTTGTCAAGAGGAGCACAAGCAGACAGCTAGGAAACGCTGGGCCAACGTTGCTGGGCATCTACACATGTTACAACTGCACTTCTGCGATAGCGCCACCATTGGCTAACTGATGACCGGTAGCAGAAGCAAAGAAAAAAGGGAAAAGGTCTTAC